TGTTTATTTGATTGGTTTTTATTTATTTTTCATGTGATACTGGGGATGGAACCTAGTGCCTCACCATGCTAGGCAAGTGCTCTACTACTGAGCCACAACCCCAGCCCCTTCTTCTAGTTTTGAATTGTAAATTTTCAGAAGTTCAGATTGTGTGCTATAATATCCCATAAATTCCTTTCTTCCTCTAAGATATAACAGTGTCATACACCTCTTTTCCTTTTCTTGTCCCTGAAGAGCAAGTATTGCTCCTTTTATATCAGGGAGCTAAAATCTGTGCATGATATGGAATAGACTCAGTAAATATTTGTTGAACTGGTCATAATGATGGGCCATAAGCTATTCAACTTAGCCTAGCTGCTTAAGCAAATTTCTATCCCCTTAAGACTTCTAGAAAATTCTAGAAGTCTTTTAGGGTAAGATGTCATTCATTGAACAAAAAATGTATACTTGCTATGTGCTGGGTTTCTTTAGAAAGGCTCAGGTTTTTGCACTTCTGTAGGTTTAACATTTGGAAACCATTTATTACTCTTCTGTGCCTTGGGTGTTGTGATGGGCCTAGGGGAGCCACTGAATAAGTAAAAGGAATATTTAGCTGGGTACAGCAGTGTACACCTGTAGTCCCAGCTACTCAGGAGGAATTTGAGACCAGCCTGAGCAACATAGAACATGAGGCCCCATCTCAAGAGAAGAAAAAGGAAGGAACAAACAAAACATTTGGTGAGGTGGCGCGAGCCTTCAATCCTAGCGATTTTGAGAGTCTGAAACAGGAGAATTGCAAGGTCGAGCCAGCCTCAGCAACTTAGCTATACCCTTTCTCAAAATAAAAATACAGAGCTGGGGGATGTAACTCAGTAGTAGAAAGAAGAAACAGACTGACTCTGTGTGTGTGTGTGTGTGTGTGTGACTGAGGATTTGACACAGGGCTTTGTATATGCTAGACAAGTGCTCTAGCATTAAGCTACACCCCAGCCCCCAAAAAAGAAAAGAGAATAAAAGAGAAGCAAAGAAAAGCAGTCCTTTCCTATGAGGTACAATTTGATGGGGAGAAGCTGACAAAGTGAGGTGATGAGGGAGCAAGAACAAGGTTTTTTGCTTTTTTTTTTTAAATTTTTTTTATGGTGTTGGGGATTGAACCCAGGGCCTTGTTCATATAAGGCAAGCTCTCTACCAACTGAGATATATCCCCAGCCCGTTTTTTTTTTTTTTTTTTTTTTGGGGGGGGTTTTTTTTTTTTTTTTTTTTTTTTTGGTACCAGGGATTGTACCCTAAAGCACTTAACCACTGAGCCACATCCCAGCCTTTTTATTTTTTATTTTGAAACAGGGTCTCACTAGTTTGCTTACAACCTCACTAAGTTGCTGAGGCTGGCTTTGAACCTGTGATCCTCTTGTCTCAGCCTCCCAGGTCACGAAGATTACAGGTTTGTGTCACCATGCCTGGCAGGAACACAAGTTTAAACCTAGACAAGGAGGTCACAGAAGACCTCCCCAAGAAAATGGTATTTTAAATAAGTCACAAAAATGCTAGCAGGGACTAGCCAAAAGGAAAGAAAAGGGAATTCTAGGTAGAGGAAATAAGTGGGAAGCTTCAGATGAAGAAAAAGAAAAAGGCATAACTGACAAACTGGAAAAATTTGATCTTAGGAACCTACTCTGAGAACTATGAGAAATGTTAGCAAGGTGGGCAGAGGACAAATTTAGAGAATTTTGTAAGCCAAATTAAGGTGTTGTGCTTTATTCTAACAGCAACAGGAATGCACTGAAGGATTTTTAAGTGGGAAAGTGGCCTCTGGCCTTTAGTAGGATTACTTTGACTGCTGTGTGGAGAATGAATTGGAGGAGACCAAGATAGAAATTAGGATAGAGAGAAGAAGCAGCTGGAAAAACCCAGGTAACAAGAGTGTGGTGCCCCAGATATGGTGGTGGCAGCACAGATGGAGAATGGGAGGATGATTAAAAGAGGGAGGTAGAATGGATAGGATTTGGTGGTTGATTGGATTTAGAGAAGAAAGAGAGGAGTCAAAAATAACTTCTTATTTTCTGGCTTATGAAAATGGGTGAAGGGAAGCACCACATACCAAGGCAGAAAATACAAAAGCAGGTTTGAGAAAGAGTATCAGTTCAGTTTAATGTGCCTATAAAATATTGTAGAGGCTGTTGAATACAGGAATATAGAATTCATGAAAAAAAAATGAGGAATTTTAACTAGGTCATATACAAGTGAAATTGATTGACCCATCATATATCATTGCCTAAGATGAGCAGGGCAATTTAGCAAGACTCTCAAAATTAAGAAGAAAGGGCTGGGCACATACTTCAGTGGTAAAACATTTGCCTAGCTAGCATGCATGAGCTCTGGGGTTCAATCTCCAGTACTGCAAAACAAACAAACAAATAAATAAATAAAGGTGGGGGTGATAAGACAGTGAGTGGTACAGTGTGTACAAACCAGATGGTAGGGGAATACAGAAAAGAAAAATGGTTTGACAATTAATTCATGGAGGATAGGCTTTGATTTGGGCCTTGAATAGAAAAGGAAATGAGGGACAAAGGGCTTAAAGCATAACAAGGACACAGAAATGTGAAAATGCATTAATATGTTCAGAGTATTGTAAGTGGTTGGTATGGGTGAAGCTGAAGTTCTAGGGGTGTGATAGACACAAATAAAACTGGAGAAGTATTTTGAGATCAATGAAGTAAACTTTTTTTGGTGGGGGATGAGTTACTAGGCACTCGACCACTGAGCCACATCCCTAGCCCTATTTTGTATTTTATTAGAGACAGGTCTCACTGAGTTGCTTAGCACCTTGCTAAACTGCTGAGGCTAGGTTTGAACTTGCAGTCCTCCTACCTCAGCCTCCTGAGCCTCTGAGATTATAGGAATGAGCCCCTGTGCCTGGCTGTCCTGGTCATTTTCACATAGCCATATGTTTAAGTAAATACACAGCTCTTACTTGTGTTCTTGTAAGTGAATCTCTCTTTTCAACTGTGAAGACTAACAACTGCAGAATGTCCAGGTGTCTGTGTTTTTGTTAAGAATGGAACAGTACTTTGAGTTATTTTAGAATTAAAGAGCACATGATGCTGCATGTTGGTTTCTTCAGTAGCTCTGTAAGGGTGATATCAGCTGAGATCAGCTCCATTCTTTTTGAGGCAAAGAGGTATTAAGAAGTTCCTAGGGGCTGGGGATATAGATCAGTTGGTAGAGTGCTTGCCTTCCATGCACAAGGACCTGGGTTCAAACCCCAGCACCACAATAGTTAGATAGATAGGTAAGTAGATAGATAGATGGTTAGATGGATAGATAGATAGATTTTCTAGAAGTTCCTAGAAGGTGGGTGTGTTGGTGTATGCCTGTAATCCCAGTGACTAGTGAGGCTGAGGCAGGAGTATCGCGAGTTCAAAGCCATCCTCAGCAAAAGCAAGGCACTAAGCAACTCAGATCCTGTCTCTAAATAAAATACAAAATAGAACTGGGAATGTGGTTCAGTAGTTGAGTGCCCTTGAGTTCAATCCCTGGTTACCTGCCCCCGCTCAAAACAAAACAAGGGCTGGGGCTCAGCGGTAGCACACTTGCCTGGCATGTGTGAGGTACTGGGTTTGATTCTCAGCACCACATATAAATAAATAAATAAATGTCTATAAACAAGTTTAAAAAAAAAACATTAAAAAAAATTAAAACAACAACAACAAAAAAACAGAAGTTCTTAGAGAAGTTAACTTTTTTTTTAAGTTTATAGAGATTATTTATTGAAATTCAACATTTATTAAACAAGTACTCAATGCAAGTCATCTTCCCCTTCCCATACAACTCAGTTCAGTCAGTCAGCAGGTACAAAGTATTTACAAAAGATGGAGAATTTGATGAGGTGTAATGGCTAGTCGCACAGAGAATAGATAGGACACCTACTTTCCAGGAGCTTACTGTTTAAGATGGAACTAGTATGCAATAAACCAGCTCTTCAGAATAAAAACCAAAAACCTTGAATTGTAGTGCTTGTGAGCTTCTGTGGTGTTTGTATTCCCAACATTGCTGATCTCAAACTACTGCCAACTTGAGATGTCACTACTCAGAGTTGAGACGAGAAACACATAGTTGGTTCTCAGGAGCTGGTAGAGCTGGTTGTAGCACATCAATCAGTGAATAACACATATTAAGAAAACCTGCAAGCGGAGTATGGTGGAACACATCTATAATTCCATTCATTGATTTGGTAGACTTGAGGCAGGAGAATGAAAGTTTAACAACTTAGTGAGAACCTCAGCAACTTAGCAAGACCTTGTCTCAAAATAAAAAGTAAAAACAAAAAAGGACTGGGAATGTAGCTCAGTGCCCTTTGGATTCAATCACCAGTATGAAAGAAAGAAAGAAGGGCTGGGGTTGTGGCTCAGAGGCAGAGTGCTTTCCTAGCATGTGAGAGGCACTGGGTTCCATCCTCAGCACCACATAAAAATAAAGGGGGCTGGGGTTGTGGCTCAGTGGTAGAGCACTTGCCTAGCACACGTGAGGCACTGGGTTCAGTCCTCAGCACCACATAAAAGTAAAATAAAGGAATTGTGTCACCTACAACTAAAAAGTATATTAAGAAAAATAAAGGTATTGTGTCTACCTACAACTAAAAAATATAAAGAAAAGAAAAAAAACCGTACAGGGCTGGGAATATAACTCAGTGGTAGAGAACTTGGCCTGTCATTCATGAGGTCCTGGATTTGGTCCTCGGCACCAAAAGGATGGAATGATGGGAGGGAAGGAAAAAAGGGAAAGGAAGGAAGAAAAAAGGGTGTGAGGAAGGAAGGAAGGAAATCTACAATAGCTAGTGCTGAGGCATTTCTGGAAAGATCAGAGTCCTGTCAGCTCCCTCCTATAATTCCCATCCTTTTCAGAGGACAATGATCTCCAGGGTGCTCTTGGAATTGGTAGTCATTATTTTGGCATTTCTCTCCTATGGTTGCCATCTTTCAAACCAGATGAAGTAATTTGTGCTTCTTGTTTCCTAATAGAAGCCCCAGCTATCAGACTTCATGTGAAAGATGGCTAATGCAGAAGTGAGTGTCCCAGTGGGAGATGTGGTTGTGGTACCCACTGAAGGAAATGAAGGGGAGAACCCTGAAGACACTAAGACCCAAGTGATCTTGCAGTTACAACCTGTGCAACAAGGGTAAGTGGCTAGAAATTTGATATTCTGAAAATTTTGGGGAGGTTTAAAGGGTGGGAAAATTGTAACTTTATGGTTGTTTAGCCCAATGGAACATTCAACATCAGTCAGCTGGCTGAGTTTTCATAGTGATATGTATTGTGTTTTTTTTGTGTGTGTGTGCTAGGGATTGAACCTACATGCAAGGCAAGCACTCTACCCGCTGATCTATATTCCTAGGCCCTATATTTGTCTTTTGTTGTTGCTGCTGGATATTGAACCTAGTACCTTGCATTTGACTGAGCTATTTCCCTAGTCCCTGTATTTGTCATTTTAATATTATTATAACAGTTATCTATTTCCTTGTATCCCTCTTTCCTCTCTGCTAAGAGATTTATAAGGATAAGTTATAGGGATCCCTCATCTTATATAGTAATAGTTTTTTTTTTGTACTAGGGATTGAACCTAGGGCCTCATGCATACTAGGCAAGTGCTCTATCACTGAGCTATATTTATTCCAAGCACTCCCACCCTGCCCCCAGACAGGGTCTTACTAGGATGCCTTAAATTTGAGATCCTCCTGCCTCAGCCTTCCGAGTCACTGGATTACAGGCATGTGCCACTGCGCTTTGCACTATGTCTACACAACTTTTTTTTTTTTTTTTTTTTTTTTTTGGTACTGGGGATTGAACTCAAGGGCACTCAATGACTGAGCCGCATCCCCAGCCCTATTGTGTATGTTATTTAGAGACAGGGTCTCACTGAGTTGCTTAGCACCTTGCTGTTGCTGAGGTTGGCTTTGAATTTGTGATCCTCCTGTCTCAGCCTCCCAACCTGGTGGGATTATAGGCGTGTGCCATCATGCCCACCTCAAAAGAGGTCTTAAAGGAAAATAAGAATTAGTACTGCACAGAGAAGGAGGGGTAATTCTTCTGTCTTGGAGAATGTATAGAAGATCCTTCATGGGATTAGCAGTGTTCCTGGGCAAATAATCCAGTCCTAATCTTTTTTTTTTTTTTTTTAATTGCCCCTCCTGCATCATACAGGTTTCTGCCAATCCTGTTCTAATCTAAGTAATGTACCTTATCTTAAATATTTCAAATTTCAAATGTATAGGTTCATTGGTATACCTTTGTGATCCCAGTGATGAAGGAGGCTGAGGTAGAAAGAGGTCAAGTTCAAGGCCAGCCTGGGCAATTTAGCATGACTATCCCAAAATAAAACAGATAAAAAGGGATAGGGTTATAGCTCAGTGGTAGAGTGCTCTTGGGTTTAATCCCTGGTACTGCAAAACAAAAAAAGTTCAAATATATATACAAATAAAGAAAACATTATAAGGAACCCTCAGCTTCATCAATACATGGTTGACTATTTCATGTCTTTATCATCCCACTTTTTTTTTTTTTTTGGTACAAGGGACTGTACCCAGTGAGCCACATTCCTATCCCTTTTTTATATTTTATTTAGAGACGGGGTCTTTCTAAGTTGCTGGGGGTGGCTTTGAACTCATGATCCTCCTGCCTCAGCTTCCTGAGCTGAGATTATAGGCATGTGCCACTGTGTCCGGCTTTTTTATTTTTTTTTAAGTAAATCTAGATATTTGAATGTATCTTAAAAAAATAAGGATTCTTTTTTTTTTTTTTTTTTTACTTTGGCAGTACTGGGTATTGAACCCAGGGGTGCATTACCCATAAGCTACACCCCCAGTCCTTTCTATTTTTAATTTTGCCACAGGGTCTTGCTGAGTTACCTAGGCCAGCCTTTAATTTGTGATTCTCCTGCCTCAATTACAGACTTGCACCACCGTACCCACTTCTTGGCAGCTTTATTGTCTCATGCAGTCCTCATTTCTTCTATCTTTCTTAGAAAGTGTTCCAGTAGTCACTTGTCCTATCCTTATTAGAGACAGAAAAAAAAAAAAAATCTATGCTATTAGTCTTAGTTTTTCCTTTTTCTTTTCTTCTTCTTTTTTCTTTGGTACTGGGAATTAAACTTAGGGCCTTGCTTATGATAGGCAAGCACTATACCATTGAACTGCATCCCCTACCATTTTCATGTTTTTATTTTGAGAGGCTTTTGCTAAATTGCCCAGGCTGGCTTGGAACTTGTGATCCTCCTGCCTTAGCGCCTCCTAAATTGCGAGGATTATAGGCAATGCACCATGGTGCCTGGCTCATTTTTTTTTTTTTTTTAATTTAGTTGAATTCTACTTTTTATTTTCCTAATGATATTGCCTTTTCTGGAAATTCCGTGTTTCTAGATATGGGCTTTTTTTTTTTTGGTACTGGTGCTGGGAATTGAACCCAGGACCTTGTGCATGCAAGACAAGTACTCTACCAACTGAGCTATATCCCCAGCCCCTGGGCATCTTTTTTCTTGGCATTTTTTGTTGTTTCTTTTTTTCATTATTTATTTTTTCACCTTACTGGTTTTAGATATAGTCATCTTTGTACAACATATATTTACTCCTTAAGCCACTGTTTACATTGAGCTTAGTATATGGACTAGCGAGTAAACATTTTGAGATACTACATTTTGACATGCCTACAACTGATGATATTCAGTTGATTTCTCTACTTGTGTTTTCTAATTATTTGAATATTTTATTGCATTTTAATCTTATTTTTAAGAAATGAAAGGGGAGCTGGGCAGTAGTGCATGCCTCTAATCCTAGCAACTCAGGAGTCTGAGGCAGGAGGATTGTACGTTCAAGACTGACCTCAGCAACTTAGTGAGACCTGTCTCAAAATAAAAAATAAAAATGATTAAGGGCTGGGTGCCATGCTACACACCTGTAATCCCAGTGGCTCGGGAGGCTGAGGCAGGAGGATGGAGATTTCAAAGCCAGCCCCAGCAAAAGTGAGGCGCTAAGCAACTCAGTGAGACCCTGTCTCTAAATAAAATACAAAATAGGACTGGGGATGTGACTCAGTGGTCAAATACCCCTCAGTTCAATCCCCAGTAACCCCTCCCCAAAAAGGACTGAGTTGTAGAGCACCCATGGAGTTTAATCCCTAGTACGGCAAAAAAAAAAAAAAAGGGGGGGGGGGTGGTTTAAAAATATTGATACCAGTAGTGAGATGTAAAGAACTCATATGACATGAGATAAAGATGGATAGCATCAGGAACCAGTGTTAAGCCACAATCACACTTAACCTGATTGGCCATGGGTTTATGTAGGAAGGAAAGAAATACTCAAGAATGTGTATAAGACTCTGAGAATATATTGGTGAAGATTATGTGTAAAGACAAAATAATAACAGATTTTATATAATTATTTTTAGATTTCAATATATAGAACTCCCCTTATGTTAATTTAGCTTTTTAAAAAATATGTATATATGTATACACATATATTTATGTATATATATGTATATATATTAGTTGTAGATGGACACAATACATTTACTTTATTATTTTTATATGGTGCTGAGGATCGAACCCAGTGCTTCATACATGCTAGGCAAGTGCTCCTCCACTGAGCTACAGCCCCAGCCCTCTACTTAGATTTTAAATATATGATATTTTAAACTTTTTCAGGTATTCATTGTATACATATTTGCAGAAATGCATTAATTAGCAAAAGTAGACTATTTCGTAGCAGTCTCCATATATGCATAGAACCTGACACATTGTATAAGATGATATTTTCATATTAACAGTAGGTTGGCTTTAAAGTATATACACTTTTTAAATTTAATTTAATTTTTTTGGTACTGGAGATTGAAGTCAGGGGCACTTTACCACTGGGCCACATCCCCAGCCCTATTTTGTGTTTTATTTAGAGACAGGATCTCACTGAGTTGCTTAGTGCCTCCCTAAATTTCGAGGCTGGCTTTGAACTCTCCTTCCTCCTGCCTAAGCCTCCCTAGCTGCTGGGATCACAAGTGGGCGCCACCACCTAGTGGTAGTTAACTTTTTCAACTAAAATCTCTTTTATAACATACTCAAAGTTTCCAGGGGAAGTTAAGGTACCAGGATTTTATCACCATTTTTGAATTTCCAGTTCACTTTGGATTGATTATCGAGTTTTAACATTGTGTGATTAGAGTTTTGTTTTTTTTGTGGAACTAGGGATTAAATCTAGAAGTGCTTTACCACTAAACTACATTCCCAGTCCTTTTTATTTTGAGACTGGATCTCACTAAATTGCTGAGGGTTTCACTAAGTTCCCCAGGCTGACCTTGAACTTTTGATCTTCCTGCCTCCATCTCCTGAGTCCCTGGGATTATAGGCATGAGCTACCATGCCCCAGGTAATCAGAGTTTTAATAGTCCATAAATTTATTCAATGTACTGACTGACTTTAATTTTTTCTGTAGAAGAAATTCAGTCCAATGTGGTAGGATAGTTCAATTTGAGGAGGAGCAGCCCTGTTTTTCCTTTCATGCTGTATCTCTTTCTAATAGGAAGTTTAGGGTCATAGACTGAGTGGGTAGCTCAGTGGAAGAGCACTTGCCTAGCATGTGCAGGACCCTAGGTGTAATCCCTAGCACCATAAACAAACAAGCAAATAAATAAAAGCAAATAAATAAACATTTTTAAAAGTTTAAAGTCAAAGAAGATGTATTAATTCTATCAGAACAATAGGGTACTCCTTAGTTTTTGAGATAGGACCTCACTAAGTTGTTGAGGGTCTCATAAATTGCTGAGGCTGGCCTTCAACTTGTGTTCCTCCTGCCTCAGCCTTCCAAGTTGCTGAGATTATAGGCTTGGGCCACTGCATCTGGCCTATTTATTTGTTTGTTTTTATTTATTTTTTCAGTGTTGGGGATCAAGACTAGGGCCTCAAACATGCTAGGCAAATGGTCTATGTCTGATCTGCATACCCATCCCATATTGAGATGGGTGTTTAAGAGTTTTCTAACTTAAAAAAGTAAAGTTCTTTTTCTTTTTCTCTTTGTTTTCTTTTCTTCCTCATACCAAGGATTTGAGACTTTATTTTTATTTATTTATTTATTTATTTTTGGCGCTGGGGATTGAACTCAGGGGCACTCGACCACTGAGCCACATCCCCAGCCCTATTTTGTATTTTTTATTTAGAAGCAGGGTCTCACTGAGTTGCTTTGTGCCTTGCCCTTGCTGAGGCTGGCTTGAACTCCCAATCCTCCTGTCTCAGCCTCCCAAGCCACTGGAATTACAGTCATGCGCCATTGCACCTGGCTGAGGCTTTGTTTTAATAGTGCAGAGAATTGTTTTTGTTTGTTTTCTTTTCTTTTTTGATACTGGGGATTTAACTCAGGGATATTCTACCATTGAACTACATCCCTAGCCTTTTTTATTTTTCGTTTTGAGATAGGGTTTCCCTAAGTTGCTTGTGGCCTCATTAAGTTGCTGAGGCTGGCCTCAAACTTTAGATCCTCCTGCCTCAACCTCCCGAGTTTCTGGGATTATAGGCATGTGCCACCATGCCCAGCTTGGAAGTTATTTTAGACATAATAAATTCAACAAAATCCTGTGGGAGATCCAAATGTATGTGTTTACTTAGCAGTTATCTGTTTCCTGGCTTGAAATTCAAAAGGGAAGTCTGTACTATAGGTGTCACCATGGAGTTGGATAGTCATTTTTGTAAAGATTGCTCAGGCAGGGCTGGGGTTGTAGCTCAGTAATAAAGCACATGGCTTATGCATGAGGCACTGGGAATCCTTAGCACCACATAAAAATAAATAAATAAAATAGAGATATTATGTCTATCTACAACTAAATAAATATTTTAAAAATAAATAAATAAATAAAGATTACTCAGGCAGTGCTTTCAAATAACAAAGTGTAAGAATCAATGCATCAGGTTTATTATAGAAATTAAGCAAACACATGACAGTAAATCATGTTAGATTATCTGAGCCCATGAATGTGGAGACATTTTAGGTTGGTCTGTATTACATAACCGTCCATTAAGTGGTGCCTCTAGTTACTAGTAGTTAATTTGGGCATAGTTTTTTTTTTTTAATATTTATTTTGTTATTGTTGTTATAGTTGGACACAGTATCTTTATTTTATTTTTATGTGGTGCTGAGAATCGAACCTAAGGCCTCACACGTGCTAGGTGAATGCTCTATCGCTGAGCCACAATCCCAGCCTGGGCATAGTTTTTTTTTTTTTTAAATCTTACTTTTTTTCATTTTGTTTGTTCATGTTAATAATTTGGTTATGATGCCTTAAAAGATGCTAAAGTGCAGGAATGGGAATGTAGCTCAGTGGTAGAGCACTTGCCTAACATGTGAAGTCCTGGGTTCAATCCCAGCACCCCTAATACACACACAATGCTAAATTACTAAAAAAAAAAAAAAAAGCTAAAATATCTAGATTTCAACAAAATACATCAATTTCTGTGGTCAACATGGTTCTTCCTGTCTTGAATTATTTATATTCTTCTCAGGTTAATTCTATGATTTTGTCCTGTATTTGAAGCAAAACTTAAAAAAAAAATTTTTTTTAATTAAAAAAAAAAACTATGTCATGAGCATTTACAGTGATGTGATACAGGGAAAAGGCTGGTGAAATAAAATAGCAAGTGGAGTATACTAGCAAGAATTACTTTCCTTTGAAGTGAGGAAAGTTGTTGCTGACTTATTTCCATGGTAGTAGCTAAGCACTCCTGCGCAGCTTGAAGTTTAAATACAATGGGAAACTAGTCAAAGTACTAACATAGAATTGTTAAGTATATTTATTTTATTCCTTTTGAGATAGAGTAAAAACAAATTTCTTAACCCCATGCTGTGAATATTAATTTTTTCATGATTTATGTAGTTTGTTTATCGATGGACACTTTTACAACAGGATTTATGAAGCTGGGTCGGAGAACAACACGGCAGTTGTAGCAGTAGAAACTCACACAATACACAAAATTGAAGAAGGAATTGGTAAGTCTTTGTTTTTCTAGTACTTTTGACCTTTGCTTCCTTGGTTGAGCTGTTTTGCCTTTGTGTGTGTGTGTGTGTTGGGGGTCAAACCCAGAGATAGCTTCACCTGTGCTAGGCAGATACTCATTAAGCTACATTGCCAGCCTGAGATACCTTGCCTACCATGCCTTATGTTTTCCTTACACCTAGTGTGCCTACCAATACTGCAGCCATCAATTTGATGGAAGCATATTTAGAGACTAAGACCTACTGACTAAGATGTCAGGGCTGGCAGATGATTATTTAATATCAGTATGCTAGGGAAGATGAAAGATTATTCATCTATAAAAATCCCACAAAGATAGAAGCTTGTCTAGCAAACCCCAGGCCCTGGTTCAATTCCTACTACCATCCAAAAAAAAAAAAAAAAATTTCCCACAAAGGAACAGAGTCTCAAGTTGATACATGTCATTAGAGAAATTGCGGATAAGGATTGATGAGGTGTTGACTCAAAGGCTGTCAGGAGAAAGAAACTGGAAAGAAATTTTGAAATTAAGCAAACTTAAGTTTGAATCCTATTTTCTCACTTTTTTTTTTTTTGTGGTATCAGGGATTAAACCCAGGGCCTTGCACATGTTAGACAAGTGTTCTACCTCTACTACTCATCTATGCTGCAAGCCTTTTTTTTTTTTTGGTATTCGGGATTGAACTCAAGGGCACTTGACCACTGATCCATGTCCCAGCCTTATTTTGTATTTTATTTAGAAACAGGGTCTCACTGAGTTGCTTAGTGCCTTGCATTTGCTAAGGCTGGCTTTCAACTTATGATCCTCCTGCCTCAGCCTCCCGAGGTGCTGGGATTACAGGCTTGAGCCACCATGCCTGGCTCCAGCAGCCTTTCTTATTTTATTTTGAGGCAGGGTCTCACTAAGTTGGCCAGGCTGGCCTTGAATTTGTGATTCTCCTGTCTCAGTCTCCTGAGTAACTAGGATTACAAAGAGCCACTGTCTAGTACTACTTTGTCACTTTTTATCTGTGTGTCCTTAGAAAGTCACTGATTTTTCTGAGGCCCATAAACTTATATGAAAAACATAGCAAACAATTACTGCTTCACATGATTTTATAAGAGCTAAATAATACTAAGCATGTAAAGCAAATACAGGGTATTGTGGCACATGCCTATAGTCCCAGCAGTTTGGGAGGCTGAGGCAAGAGGATCACAAGTTAGAGGCCAGCTTCAGCATCTCAGCAAGCAACTTAGTGTGACCCTATTTAAAAATTTAAATAAAAGGATTGAGGATATAGCTCAGTGATAGATTATCCATGTATTTAATCCCTAGTACTGCAAAACAAAACAAACCAACCAACAAACAATACACATATATGTTAGAGTGTCTAGCACATAGTAGAAGATAGCTATTATGCCAAACTTCTTCTGGAGGATTCCTAAACAATACTAGCAAGAATGAAGTATTAGTTCCTTAGGGAAAGTAGGAAACTAGTAATTTGGAATTTAAAATTTGGTGAAGGACTGGAGATACAGCTCAGTTAGTAAAGTGCTTGCCTTGCCATGTACAAGGCCTGGGTTCAATCCCCAGCACCACAATAAAATAAAATAAAATAAAATTTGGTAAAGACTTGTTTATTAGGGCTGGGGATGTGGCTCAAGCGGTAGCGCGCTCGCCTGGCATGCGTGCGGCCCGGGTTCGATCCTCAGCACCACATACAAACAAAGATGTTGTGTCCGCCGAAAACTAAAAAATAAATTAAAAAAAAAAAAAAAAAAGACTTGTTTATTAAATAACTGACTTTTTTTCCATTTTCAGATGCAAGCACTATAGAAGCAAATGAGGATATGGAAATTGCTTACCCCATAACTTGTGGAGAGAGCAAAGCCATTCTCCTCTGGAAGAAGTTTGTATGTCCAGGAATAAATGTGAAATGTGTTAAGGTAATTGTCTTCTTGCTGAGATGTTTCAGGACTTTTCCTTTTCAAAGGGTGTTGTTTCAGTGCCTCCTCTCTTCCACCAAATCTTTTTTTTTTTTTACTTTTTCTGCAGTTTTGAGGATGCAACCCATGGCCTTGAACATGCTAGGCAAGCTCTACCACTAAGCTACACTCCCAGCTCCTAATCAGTGTTTTTTATTTTATACCTGTTGTTCTATCATTTCACAGTAGAAAAAATAAGGGTTGACCTGTATTTAAGTCCTATTGGAATATAAGTCCTATGAGAGTAGAAGACTTACCTGTTTTGTTCACTACTATAAATCCAACCTTTAAAATGTTCCTTTTTTTTTTTCCTTCCTTTTTGGATCTGGGGATCAAACCTAGGGCCTTATACATGATAAGCATACAACTACCACTAAGCTATATGCCTAGCTTGAATGGTCCATGATGTATAATAGATAATCAATAAATATTTGTTCAATGAATGACTAACTGGATGACCTTGACCAAGTTTTTTTTTTAATTATTGATTGACCTTTATTTTATTCATTTATTTGTATGTAGTGCTGAGAATCGAACCTAGTACCTCACACATAATAGGCAAGTGCTCTACCTCTGAGCCACAACCCCAGCCTTTGACCAAGTTTTTTAATATTTCAGAGCCTCATCCTAAAATCAAAATAATCATATGTGTGTGTGTGTGTGTGTGTATGTATGTATATATACACACACGTATATATGTATTTTTACACATATCAATATCTATAATGCAAAACTGCTAGATTAAATCAGATAATATATGTAAATGCCTTGTACTAGTATGTATTGTGGAAGAGTTTATTCAAAATTATTATTTATAAAAATAATCTTTACAAGAGCATAATGTGAACAGAATTGTTCATTCTGTCTGCCACCAATAAAGACAGAATGAACAATTCTGTTCACATTATGCTCTTGATTGGTGGCTACATCAGTATCACAATGGCATCATCCTAGATTAATTAGGATTACAGAATTTCAAGGCTCTGCAGTGCTGTTGTTTTCTACCACACTTGTTCTTTCCACCATCCTGAATCTTGACCTTTAGGCTGGATAGATTATTTCAGTTAATTTCCTCAGCCTTTCCAACACTAGAACAAATTTCTGAATTCAAAGTATAAGTCGATAGTAGATACTAATCAATTCATTTTCTATCTGGGCATTGTTTTGTACGTAACAAATAGAGTTATCATTTCATTCTTTTCCCTCTTGACTTACCTAAGTTGACATTGAACTGCTTTGGACTTTTTTTTTTTTTTTAACTTTAGTTCAATGATCAGTTGATCAGCCCCAAGCATTTTGTTCATCTGGCTGGCAAGTCCACTTTGAAGGACTGGAAGAGAGCCATTCGTCTGGGTGGAATCATGCTTAGGTAAGGTCTAGCACACACCTTTCAACAAACTTTGGGGCACTTAATTGTGGTAGGTCTTTTTCTCTTTACTTTGAGGTTTGTATTCTGTCTGAAGGATTGGCTTGAACATTCCATGCATTATTTGTTCTTTGTCAATTTGTTGTGTTTTTGGGGGTGCTGAGGATTGAACTCAGGGGCACTTTACTACTGAACTACATTTTCAGGCCTTCTTTTTAATATTTTTTTAGTTGTTGGTGGACCTTTATTTTATTTATTTATATGCAGTGCTGAGAATAGAACCCACATGTGTTAGGCAAGGGTTCTACCACTGAGCTACAACTCACTCCCAACACCTTCTTATTTTTTATTTTGAGACAGGGTCTTTTTTTTTTTTTTTAATTTTTTAGTTTTCAGTGGACACACATCTTTTTATTTTATTTTTATGTGGTGTTAAGGATCGAACCCAGCGCCCCGCGCATGCCAGGCAAGCGCTTTACCGCTTGAGCCACATCCCCAGCCCTTGAGACAGGGTCTTGCTAAGTTGCTTAGGGCCTCACTAAATTGATAACACTGGCCTTGAACTTGTGATACTTCTGCCTCAGCCTCCTGAGTCACTGGGATTACGGGCATTGGATACCATGTCCAGCTCATCAAGTTGTTCTTTTTTTTTTTGCTGTTGAACCCAGGAGCACTTAACCACTGAGTTACATCTCCAGCCCTTTTTAAAATTTTATTTAGAGACAGGATCTTGCTGAGTTGCTTAAAGCCTCACTAAGTTGCTGAGACAAGCTTTTAACTATCAATCCTCCTGTATCAGCCTCCCAGACTGTTGGGATTATAGGCGTGCAACTGTGCCTGGCTATCAAGTTGTTCTTAATCCTTTTTCTTTCTTTTTTTCTTTTCTTCTTCTTCTTTTTTTTTTTTTTTT